TCAAACATTCAAAATAATAAGTGGTTTAAAACAACAACAACAACAACATCAAAAAAAAAAACCAAAAAACAACCCAACCCAAACAAAATGAGTACAGTTGCTATACTGTATCCACGGATTCAAACATCCACAGCTTAAATTCCAAAAAGCAAAGCTTGATTTTGTCATTTTCGATATGGGACACCATTTTACTATGCAGTTGTATTTAATGAGACTTGACCACTCATGGATTTTTGTATCCATGGGGAGCCCAGGAACCAAACTCCAATGGATACCAAGGGCCCACTGTATATGTAAGCCTTTCATGGGAGCCAAGGTGGTGTAGTCATCTGAGGGTTAGGTTAGGACTCTGAAAGACCAGGGTTCAAATACCCATTCAGACATGGAAGCCCACTGGGTGACCATGGGCAAGTCACACTGTCTCAGCTTCAGAGGAAGCTTCCCTTGCAGCCCATAGTGCAAGTTCTGGAGAGTTTCCTAGCCTTAAGAACAGGTCTGAAGAGTACATCGCAAGTGGGGGCCGCAAGGTAAAGAAGAAACTGCCCCCCAGTGCTATGGGGAAAGCAATTTTTTGAGTGGGGAACTGCCCCCCGGATGGATTATGGATTAAACCAACAACACTAAAGATTGTGAAGTCATAGGCTTTCATGGCTGGCATCCATAGTCTTTTGTGGGTTTTTCGGGCTGTGTGGCCATGTTCTAGAAGAGTTTCTTTCTGATGTTTAGCCAGCATCTGTGGCTGGCATCGGCAGCCACAGATGCTGGCGAAACGTCAGAAAGAAACTCTTCTAGAACATGGCCACACAGCCCGAAAAACCCACAAAAAAAACACTAAACATTATTGTTCAGTGGTCCCACAGTTTGTGAAGGTGAGCAACCACAATTAGGAATGTGCCCGTTGCCACCAAAAATACCTAGTATAGAATGGATATCATGATAATAATAACATTTGGTAAGTTGTATTTATGACACATGTCCTACTCTGGTGGCACCCAAAAAGGGTTGCTGAGCATAATGTTTACTTAAGATAATACTTTTTAAAAAATCTATATATACAATAAGCTTTTTGGAAAAAGTAAATGCTAGAACTTTTGTGCTGTCGGACACCATGAGCACTTGAACATGCCTTTATAGAGCATGTGGTGTCTTGGACACCATGCATCACTGCAGCTGTTCGACAAGGGAGGATGATATATGCAAATATGCAAACAAAGTAAGGATGATATATGCAAATAGGAAAATACCAGATCTTCCTAGGATACTGCTGTGCACCAGTGTGGCCCAAATCACCACTTTGCTAATCGTCTTTCTTACTGTTCTTATAACTAATGACTTTGTACTTCCCATGGCATTAATGGCAACAAGCAGGCCATTGTTGAGAAACAATAATGTGTCTCTGTATAAGAGAGTGGAAAGTGCACATTTCAGCAGAGGAAATGGAAATGTATTCATAAGAACTAATAAATGCAACTCCCTCTCCCCAAGGGATATCTCTAGTGGGAAAACAATGCTGGTTTGGGCATCTTAAAAATCTGAAAGAGGGCTTCACACAAAGGGCAGCAATTTATTTTTTTAACTGCTATGGTAGAGAGAGCATGAACTCTAGGAAGAGGCTGCTGCTAGGCATTCAAGGGCCATGTTAATAGACTCTGTGAATGCAGTGTTTCAGCTGTTTCAATGGGCTCTTCACTGGAAACACTATGCATTCCAAGGTCTTTTAGGATTATAAACCAACTTTTGGTTATGCCAATTTTCTATTTTGGAATATAGCAATATACACATTGTTGGTTTCACCAACTAGTAAACAAAGTAGTGGTGTGTGTGGTGATGTTTGCTTAAAGGTTTTCTTGGCAAACCACAGGCTTTTCTTGGTAAGTTTCTTTAGAGAGGATTTGCCATTGCCATACTCTGAGCCTGAGAGTGACTTGCCCAAGGCCACCCCACCCAGTGGGTTTTCATGGCCAAGTCAGGATTCGAACCCTGTTCTTCAGAGTCAAACACTCTACACTCAGACTGCTACACTACAGGAATCTAAATAGGTACTTGCCCCTTCTGGAAGCCCACAGGAGAAGCAATATACCTTTTGAATAACAACCCTTTCATGAAGGATGTAAAGCAGGGTTAGGCAACTTTTTTGAGCCGGGGGCCGGGTTGCTGTCCCTCAGACAAT